GCTAATCTTGACTCTCCAACTAGTACTGTAAGTTCTATCTCTCTATTAATTCCATGAATTATAGCTCTTTACAAAATGTGAAATGTATGAAGAAGCAAAAAGGCTTGAAAAAGAAAACAATAGATTAAAGGATATGAACAATTGGTTAGAAAACAAAGTCAACTCTCTTGAAAAGAAAATTCTTGAAGAAGAAAATTCTTGAAGAAGAAATTGATTTTGAATATTTGAAAATGATTCATAATAATTCTAACTACCTATGTAAAGAAATCAAGACTTGTGATAATTGTCCTAAATTGTAAAAGAAAATTGCATGTTTGATAAAGACTGTCTCTAAGTTTGCACAAGGTAAAGTTAATCTTGATGTTCTTTTTTATTCTCAAAAGCTAGTTATTGATCATGATGATATTGGTTTCACACTTATCATTAGCAAGAAAACTAGAGCTTTCAAAAACTACTTTTCATATAGAAAACCTGTCTCATCACCATTCATTACTTGCTTCTACTGTATGAAAAGAGGACATTCTTTTAAATTTTGCAAAATTAAGAAATATGCAGTTCCAAAAGGAAGAATGAAATGAGTTCCCAAGAAATTATTGCAAATAACCTAGATGGACCCTATTATCTTCGAAAAGGTACCAAAACCATGATTTTTTTTTCAGGAACAGCGAACTAAAGAATTTTTGGTACCTGAACAATGGTTGTTCAAGTCATATGACTGAAGATTTTTCCATATTTTATTATTTGAAACTTTAATGTGATGGAACTGTTGTTTATAGAGATGTCATCAATAGCAGAATTCTTGGAGAAGATGATGGTAAATGTGCAATATTCTTTTTATAGAAACTAATATAGACTATTGGCTTATATTTTCACAAAATCTTTAGCGTTCTATATAATTAGAATTGAACTAGGCATTCTGCACGTGGCAAACATTACATAATTTCATGTACTCATAGATTGAATTGATATAAAATAGTTTTAATTGATTAAAATACTATAATCAACACAATTATTTTCTTTTAATCGATTAAATTATCAAAATAATCGGTTAAATTCACTTACAAAAAATTTCTGAAAAATTATCAGTATTGTTTTAATCGATTATTCCTCAAATTAATCGATTAAAAGTTCTCAAGTTTCCAATTTACTTTTCTTATATATGTTTTGATCGACTAAATATGATTTACATAAGTTAAATTCATTAATTGGTACAAAATTAATCGATTCTTTCTCATTTTAATCGATTAATATTCTATCATTATATTTCTAACTCAAATGTAGATCAAATTACTTGATTAATTGGTAAAATAATCAATTAGTTTGTTCTTGGAAATTGTTTCAGAGTCTATTAATTGCAGAATTTTGGAAATTAAACAGTATATCAAGGATTAAAGATGAAGATTCGTTATCTACTAAATCCATAAATAGTATTAAAAGCATTGTTGACAAGTCAACCCTTATCCTCCTCCTAAAAGAACAAATTAGCTCATACATTCTACAAACCCATTGTCCAATTCCAGTACAGTTGTAATCAGTCAAGGGGTCATTTCAATTGAAAAAAGTGAGAACCACAACAAGATTTCATTGACTATCTCACGGACTCTAGAATTCATCTTTGAATATGGGAGGAGGTAGTTGATCTCTGAGATGACGGAATCAAGGTGTCCAAGGAGAATATCTCTGAGGAAAGATGAGGCTAGAACAGAGGTTACTGACCTTCATCATAGCATGGGTGCTTACACCTAGGGGGAGCATTAATGAAAGAATTTTGGTTTCTGTCTTTCTTTCAAAATCGAGTTCTGCTTCTTTAACTCATACTTACTCTCTTTTTCTTCTTTATCACTCATTCTTCTCTACTTTTAACCACTCGATCTTTCTTTCAAATTCTTGCTGCAAGAATGTTCAAGAGATCAAGATCCAGGAGACCGAAAAATAATGACCATCTTTTTATCAAAGTTCTTTCTTAAGACATTTTTGTATTCTTACTTGTGAAGAAGTTGATTCTGCAGTGGGATTTCTACATCATAATCAGGTTTGATTGTTCTAGTTTTTTCATTCTTTCAATTCTATTTTGTATTGTCTTGGTGTCTGAAAGATTGGGCACTGGTTCTGCAACTGGAATTGGGTTGTAGGTTGGATTCAAAAATTGAAATTTGGTTCTTGGTGTAGGTTTGGTTCTGCAACTAGAATTTGGTTACAGTTTGAATTCAATAACTGGAATTTGGTTCTTTGTGCAGGTTCAACTGAGGTTGGGTTCAAGGACTGAAATTTGGTTCTTGGTACAGGTTGGATTTTTTGTAATTTGATTTTGTAAATCAAACTATTCAATCTAGTGAAACTCAACTGGAATTTGGTTGAAAATTGGATGTAGCCCAGTGGTTTGGGTCAGTAGCTGATCTTCTTGGGAACTGAGGGGGGCTTTGGTCCCTCCAAAAGTTATGTAACTCTCGTGTAATTTATGATTTTGACCCCCCAAACTTTAATATATTTACTTGTATATTTACAATTTTATACTCTCAACTTCTTCTCAGTTTTGTAACTCTCATATAATTTATAATTTTGTCCCCCCAAACTTAATGATCATTTTATACATTTACTTATATATTTACAACTTTATCCTCTCACCCTTTCATCTTTTTTCACATTTTTATATTTATTTATTATTTTTTAATAATATATTATTTTTCTTCCGAATCAATAGTCAAGATGCGTCACCTGGTTTGTGTGAACCAAGTATAATTCTTGGTGTTTCTTTTTCTCTTCCATCACTTTCTTTAATTCTCGCTTGAGTTTTATTCAATTCAGTTTGGTCTTCTTGGTTTAATACTTGATCAGATTTATTAATCTTTGAAATTATTAATTTGTATATGTAAGTTGCGAAAAAGTTTGTATAGATTAATTTAACCCCCTTCTTGATCTCAACTTATAATTCTAATAGTATATATCAATGTGAAAGGACTCACACTTGAGGGGGAATTGTTAGGTAGTTCAAGTGTGAGTTAAGTCTCACCTTGAGTAAGAATGGAAGATTTGAGCAACATATAAGGAAGTATTACTCATAACCTAATGCTTTAAGGTTTTGGTAAAAAAAAAAAATTCTAGTTGTGTGGTAATTTTATGTTAAATTATAGTATAAGATGAATCATGATATTCTTAATTTTATAGTTTTAAAAATTATTAATCAATAATAAAGTACGTTAGAAAATATATTTTATATCTTTATTTTATATAACGCAAATAAAAGATATCAAGAAAAACATAATAAGTTCAGTAAATCAATTTTTTTTATGGTAGTGAGCATAAGGAAATGATTACGAGAAGAATTTGACAATAGAGAAAAGGGGAGCAGTCGATTTCAAGAACGGAAAGAATATAAACTAATGTGTTTTTAGATAAAAGAGAGCATAAAAAATAGATTTTGTTGCTGGTTTATATAAGTGGTTGAGTAATTTTTCTGCCTTCCATGGTTGTTCAAGTAGTTTAGATATAAATATATGTTTTATTTTGTTTTTCTTTTATACACTTTCAATGTCTTATTTTCTGTTTTGATTTAATTTTTATAATAATAACTTAATATTTTTATTTTAATGAAAAATTTTAGAATTTTTATATATGTATTTTTTATATATAAAATATATTTTATGTGAATATATATATATATATATATAAATTAAAATTATTATAAAATATAAAATATTAATAATATTTTAATCATAATTATTTAAATTAAAATAATAATTTAATATGTTTTTTCTTATTTCAAATAATAATAAAATATGTTAATATCTAATTTAAAAAAATAATAAAATAATATTTTTAACACATGTATACAAAATGTTTATGTTCATTTAAATTATCTTTTTATATTTTTTATCCTAACAAAATTAATTTTGATTTATATTATAAATTGTTGACTTTTACAAATTAACATAAAATTTAAGATATAATAACAAAATGTTTATGTTCACTTAGATTATCTTTTTATATTTTTATGCTAATAAAATTAATTTTGATTTACATAATAAATTGTTGAATTTTAGAAATTAAAATAAAATTTAAGAGATACTAATAAAAAAATGAAGATACTTTTAAATGGATAAAAATATTTGTTGATATATTTGACTTGATTTTTAATTAAAAAATTATTTAAATTAAATATTATAAAATTATTTAAATTAAATACAAGAAATAAATATAATTTACTAGATTCAATTTTAATTTAATATAAAATTTGAATCAAATTAAATTTATGTAATTATTCACTTTACAATGGTTTTTGTTTTATTTATTTTATAAATTATTAAATATTTTATAATAAAAAATTCTTAAATAAAACATATATTATATAATTTTTTTTGTATAATTATTTTTTTTATTTATAAATACATTATAATTTTTAGCTATTATAATATATTTTATAACTATAAATATATTATAAATAAAATATAATTGAATTGTAAATATCTTAATTTTAAATATATAATATTGTAAATAATATAAAATTTGGTTCCATACTTTTAAAAAAAATCAAAAAGATCTTAAAAATTTTAATTTTAATAATTTAAATCAGTTTTTGTTTATTTTGAATGTGTATTTGTTTAACAAATTAGAAGAGAATATCCAGAGTTTGTGAAAAAAATTTACTGGCTTAAAATAAAAAACAGAATGATAAGTTGATAACATCTCCTAATAAAAACATCTAATCGATAACCGTTATAATAATAAATTTTGTTGTTATATTATTATATCATTTTATCTTTTAGATGTTTTTTAAGTGGTTATCATTCTATAATCTTTCAAATAAAAATTCTGTTTGTCAAAGATGTTACAGGTTGACTTACATATTTCAGCTCTATTTATTAGTCACTGACCAATAATTTAACACTATTCATTCCTTCTTATATAAAATAGTTCACTTCAAATCTCACAAAACACAGTTCAAACCATATTGGACTTGAAAACGAGGAGTGAGCAACACAACAAAAACCACCCACATCTCCATGGCTTCCACACCCAGTAAGGCTTTTTCACTCTTCACAATCCCACACCTTTTTTTTCTTTTTATTAATATTTACTTCTGTTGATCTGAGTCAGATGCACCAAAAAAATCTCGGGCATATGATCTGGAATAGTTGTTGTTTCTTAATTAATCAGTTATCCTCTAGCGTGGGGTTTACTTTCTGAATGGATTTTATAGTAGATTTGAACTCATGGAATATGGTGCACCCCTCTGAGTGAACATTCTAATCTACCATTGTATCCATGCCATTGAGTTAATTTTATTTTGTTCACTTGAGATGCATGTTTTTCATGCAGAGTATGTATGAGAATGATTTTTTTTTTGACAATGTTCCCAGCAAAATATCTCTTAACTTAGTGTAATGAATCTGAACTTGAAATAGGTTTTGCTCCTTTTGTGTTTCTATTGCTTGTTATTGGTTGCACTGCAAGGCCTTTCTATCCACTTCCCAGCAAAGGTGATGGTGGAAGTAGGAAGCCCCTACAAAATTTCCGCCCGTATAACATTGCACATCGCGGTTCAAATGGAGAGATTCCTGAAGAAACTCATCTTGCATACACGGTGAAGACTCTTTCTTGTGCAAAATTACATTCCTTTTTACATTATTCTGTTATTGGCTATCACTATTGTTAAAGTAAATTCAGTTATGCACAAACTATTATTTGGTAAATAGATGACATAGTATACATCATTTCCATCTTTGGCTTATGGTCTTCAAAAACGCATGTTCTTTGCAGAGAGCCATTGAAGAAGGGGCAGACTTTATTGAAACTGATATCCTATCATCCAAAGATGGTGTTCTTATATGTTTCCATGATGTTACCCTTGATGAAACTACTGACGTTGCAAATTACAAAGAGTTTGCTAATCGTAAAAGAACATACGAAGTCCAAGGGGAAAACATCACTGGGTTCTTTACTGGTAATACAGCTAAACTTGCTATCCTTTGTTCAACTTTCTTGTAAATTTTCTTAATAAAAATAATTAGGGGGTTAATCTGATTGCTTCTGCCTATGAAATAAGTGCATAAGCTTGAAATTCATCTCTGATTTCCTTGTTCTTAGTAAATAGGTTTGCGTATGTTTCAAGTTCTCTACTTATGTTTAAAGTCCTAATCACTGTCTAAACAAATTTTCTTCTCGTTGGAATAGTCTAACTTTCCAAAAATAAGTTTACTTGTTTATATATTTGCAGTTGACTTCACATTAAAAGAGTTAAAGTCACTCAGGGTGAGACAGAGGTATAAATTCAGGGATCAACAGTTTAATGGTTAGTCTCTCTCATTCCATTATTTGTCAATTTTCTTTTGTTTGTTTGACTTGTTCATTCATTGAATTGTAAATATTCTGTTAACACTAACACTTCTAAAATCATAATAAATAAATCATTAAAATGATGAAATTGAAAGAGGGAATCTCCCCTAAAATGAAAAATTATTTCTCACCAAACAGAAACAGAGAAAGTGGAATAGAAGAAATGAAGAAAACACAGAAAAGACAAACCAATCAGAGCCGAAACACAGACTCTGCCTTCGCTCGTCTAAGCAACCAGATCCTCTCTACCATTTTCCACCCTCTCCTTATTCAATTTTCCTTTCCTCCCCCATCCTTGCTATATTTTCTCCTCTTCAATGCCTTGCTGCCAGTTGTGCATTATGTTGCATACTACTCAGATAAGAGTTCAACTAATTTTCTTTTTCGTGTCTAGGGAAACTGATTGGTGATGACTTGTTTTTCTCTAGTGACTACGACATGAAACTAGTATTGCTTTTTAGTAAAATATGTGACTTATACTTTGAATCTATTTCAGGAATGTTTCAAATCATCACTTTTGAAGAGTTCATTACCATAGCACTCGATGCAGACAGAGTTGTTGGAATATATCCGGAGATAAAAAATCCAGTATTTATCAATCAACATGTGAGTATTTCTTGTAGAATCTTACAAATGCCTAAATGTTAGTTAGGAGTGGATTGGGGCTTTGTAGCAATCGAAAGGAAGAACTATTGAAAAATATTGTAGACTCCACCATTATTAAATTAAGGCTAATGAGTTTTTGCTGGAGGTGAGATTATATTGTTGGAAATTTCGAAATAGAAATTGCATTAAAAATTCTTATACCTATTAGAAATCTTACAATATTATATCCTGAAAACCTTAGAATATCATGCTTGCTTATTTCATCTTAATAGTATTATGTTTCGGTCAACTTCTTTTAGAGGTTTTATCTTCTTTCCGTTCATTAAGTTCATACAATGAACAGGTTAAATGGTCAGATGGCAAAATATTTGAGGACAAGTTTGTGGAGACACTTCAGAAATATGGGTTCAAGGGTTCCTACCTCTCAAATAATTGGCTGAGACAACCTGTATTTATTCAGTCATTTGCTCCAACTTCACTGGTGTATATATCAAATAAAACAGAGTCGCCCAAAATTTTATTAATTGATGATGTTGACATTCCAACTCAAGACACCAATCAGGTGTGTTTTCTACCCCATGTGTTCAACCTGCTTTTAGGACTATTGAATTTCTTCTCCGTGTGCAAGTTTTCAGGGAAAAAAAAACTTTTTTTAATGGAATTTGTTATATTTGTGAAATTAATAATTTATATCATAATAGTACATTTTCAGACCTTACAAAAGTAATACTGTCTCCATTTTATGTCATTCGCTGGCGTTTTCATTGAATATTCCAAAGTGTAACAAAATAGCACTGTGATGATGATGTGCAGTCATATTGGGAGATTACATCTGATGAATACTTCAACTACATAAAACAATATGTTGTGGGAATTGGACCGTGGAAGGACACGTTGGTACCTGTCATAAATAATTATATGAAAACTCCTACTCATCTTGTTTCCAGGGCACATGCTCATAACCTGCAGGTACAGTTCCTTTAAAAGCTTATTTTCTTTCATATGATTTCATGGATTCTATAATATTTGGAAGATTGAGCGGATTGATTCTTGATTTTCTTGTCTTATCTGTTTTGACATTTCCTTTCTGTAATTTGTAATCTTTGTATTGTCTTCTATTAATGGTTTATAGCCAAACAAATGCCATATGAATTACTAATATCTGTGCAGGTGCATCCATACACTTACCGAAATGAGAACCCGTTTATGCACTTCAACTTTAGTCAAGATCCGTATATGGAGTATGATTACTGGATCAACAAGATAGGAGTTGATGGTCTGTTTACAGACTTCACTGGTAGTCTTCACCATTTTCAGGAATGGACTTCTAAACGCGTAGACCACGAGGAGGAGGATATGAATGACAAGACTGCAGCCAAGCTGTTGCATAAAATTGCTTTGTTGCTCTCCTCTTATAAATTATCTTGAGAATTCAAATGCTGAATTAAGTTTTCGTATTTTGTTTTTTGTGCTAAAACCAGCTTATAGCAATATTTACAAGAGAGATTTTTGACTAGAAAGTTGTCTGAAAATTGACAATTAAGCAAAATCAAGCATCACTAATCTCAATGATACAACCAATATATAAATCTCCACTTAACGTTCTGGAATTTGTCTAGTTAGTGTCTAACGTACTTTTAATGCAATTTTTATTGTTGGTTAAAGTTTATTAAAAATATGGATGAAATTTATCAAATAAAAAGTAAAACTCACTATACTACATGATTTTTAATAACTTCAACCAAGAAATGTTACTATGTTTATGATTCAAAGTGAATTGTTACAACAAAATTTGTCCCTCGGCTATAAGGGGTGTCTCTTTCAGGTAATGACTAAGGAAACATATAAATTCAGGCTGTGTCCCCAGCCGAAGTATCGTTTTCTTGAAGGAAAAAATGGATTGAAAACAACTTGTAAACATCCTTTTGACATCTTTTTAAAATAATTTTTTTTTATGATTGCATGAATAATAATCGGTGTCAATATATCATTATTAATCTTTGATGAAAATGAGTTCTCTTGGAGATTTTAACTTTTTCTCTTTTTTTATGTCAAGAAACCTAAACCACTTCGTTAATTGATAAAACTTAAATCAGGTTACTTATGTTACAACCATTAAGTTCTTGGCATGCAGAACTCAAAATACCAAATAACTATTAACAGTCTTAAAAAATTAAGAAGTTATTATGTGTGTATTCAATTAATTAGATAAGATGATTATATGAAAAGAAGAAATTAATCTAATACTTTTCTTATTTTCAAACACTGATTCCCCCAATGACTTAAGTTTTTTTTTTTATATTTTTTATGCCAAATTCATCTTTTAAATAAATAAAGATGGATAAAGGTGTAGCACAAAAATACATAAACGCATACTTTTATTCTTATTTTATTTTAAAAGTAACGCAGAGTTATTTCTCAGCTTAAGTACCAAATGCAAATCATTAACTAATTGAATCGTTCTCAATAATAATTATATATATAACTAACATATTTTAAGATTCCAGGATATTTCATATATATAACAAAGAGCGATCTAATTATTTTTAAAATACAAATTATAAACTTATCCTTTTACTTTTATCATTTATTTTTTGATAATATAATATTCTAAAAATAATAATTTATCTTAATCATTAAATAAATAAATAAATGATAAAAATAAATATTCTCTATATATATCAACTGTATAAACTAAAACCTTATTAATTATTAAATTAAAATTTAAGTGTGTTGCATACAAGCCACAGCGGGAACTGAAAATTTTCAATACTAATCCCATTTTAGCTTCATCAAACAGACTCGAACACCATTCTGACATCATTAAACAGCAGAAGTTTCCTATGTTGAGCTAACTGATAATTGAGATTCTGTACTTAATAGACTATTTCCAATGAGTCAGAAAAAGTTCCCCTAACAGATTATTACAGCAAGAGCCTAAGAGTACTAATAACAAACATGATGTATGATTAAGAACAATACTCTATCTAAAACATACCTCTTAACCCTCCAAAAGGAAAAGCCGAAGACGTTAGCCTGAAGCATCTTCAGTCAAATTGCTTTTTAACCTGTGAGTAATGTGGCAAAAAACTTATACCATAGCAATCTAGAACCATTTTATTTATCAAAAGGGTTAAATTAGACGCCAGGACTTTTCACATTAACAGTATAACACCACAACAAATTTTATAATTAGCTAGGAAAATTAGCTACAAAATTTATTTTTCACTAATTTATAGTTAATTAGCTATGGAATAATAAAAGAATAAAGTTGGAATTAATCTGTAGTAAAATAGTTACAAGACTAATATTTTTGTAGTTATTCTCTCACTTAACAAAAATATAATTTAGTTAGAAAAATTTTTGTCACTAATCCCTCACTATAAATATTAGTTATATTACTTTTTGAAGCTATTTCCTAGCTAAATTGTGTAACATACAATTAGAGTTAATCTGTAGCAAATTTATAGAACTATCAAATTGAAAAAAATATTAAATTATTGGGAACCATTTTCATAAATTATTTTAGTTTTATAAAAAATACTTGTAAATTTCTCTAAAAATATATAATTATAAAAAATAATTTTTGATCTTTTTGAAAAAAATATCAATAAAAATTAATTACAATTTGTTCTTAAAAAAATTATTTTTACCAAATTTACTAGAAATATATAATTATATATATAAATAAATTATATTTTTATCGCTCAATTGTTTTAAAAAAAAAATCTCAACTCTAAATTAAATGTTTCATTTATGTAAATCGAAGCTCCAAAAATAAAGAATCTAATAAAATAAAAATTAGTTAGAAATGATGCTTAAAAAAAGTTATGGTCAAAAATATGAACAAAGGTCAAACAAAAAAAGTACAATTTTTTATAATGTGAGAAATAATATATATATATATATATATATATATATATATATATATAAGTTATTAAAATATGTTATAAATATGAAATGAGGTGTGTTAAATGTTATTATTGTCTTGGTACGAAGGAGTATCATCATGTGTATAGTATTATATGTATAAATATTGATTTGAGACTCAAGAAGATATCATGACTCTACTAATAACGGAAATCACATAAATGAAAAAATGAGGTAGTAAGAGTTGAGATAGATTTGTAATGACTTAGCCTGCAGTGTGAAAAAATAACTTGATAACACTTAGGAAGTTGTAGATGTAATAGATATAGATATCTGATGTCTAATTTAATATATAATCTTTCGAAAGTCTCTAATGTGAGCGTGTGTTTGTCCGAACGTGATGTGATATATGAAAATTTAAATTAAATTATATTTTCTCTCATGTTTAAATTTACATACTTAATTGTTAACTTATTTTCTACTGCTTTGAAGTGTGATGATAGTTTATAAGACAACACAGGAACTATGAATAGTTATAAATTTATATTTTAAGTATGAAATATTGTTCACAACCCATCCTGTGAGGATGAAAGCCTAAATGTTATTGGAAACTATGGGTGCTCATGTGATATAGTCTACAATTGAACCTACGCATCGTCATCATCGATGAATTTATGAGTGCAGGTGAAATTGAGGACATGGACTTTGGAAGAAGGGTCTCTATGGGGGCGGAAGTTATCAATGAAAGCTTTATACTTATACTAGGAAGGAGGAAGAGTGAAGGTTGAGAACTGGAAAGGTAGTCTAAAGGTTCCTCACTCCAAATCCTATTTCGATCAGCTTAAACAACATCTCCCAATAAAATTATTATGTGGATAAGTTTGTCCGATAAGTTGTTTAGGGCATCTCTAATAGAAATAATTTACATCTTACCTTAACAAATGTAAAAAATAAAATAAAAATTTATAATATCATATTATTTTTAAGTAACTCACCGTTAATTTTATTCTATTAGAATTTTTCTTAATAAAATTTAAAAAATATTCATTCTCTCATTTTCTCTCTCTTCATTTATTTTGATTTGTTTGTTGTTATAAGTTGTTTGATGAAACAACTATAAAAATTTTAAACACTTATTATACTAGATAAGATTTTTCTAATGAAAAATTATTTCAAACAACTAATATTTTATTTAAATATTTTAATAAAGAATCCATTAAAAATTGTTAGTGTGTTTTTCTTCTTCGTCTTCCATGTTTCTTCAATTGTCTTCGAAGTCTCTCCTTTTACTTCATTTACATGCATCATGGTTAGTGATAAACTTAATCAGAAAACTATTTCCAACAATTAATATTTTATTTAAGCATTTTAATAAAGAAATTCATTAAAAATTATTCTTTAGTTGGTTGGTGATAATCTTAACCAGGAAATACTTCCTCTTTCTTTCCTTTTGATTTGTCCAAGAATATCTATAGATAAAGGTGATAAAGTTGACAGGACATGTCATTTTAAGACTATTGACCCTGAATCTTATGTAAATAAAATATTATTTTATAAATAAATGTCACATTATAATAAACTATTGACCGATTTATTAATTTAAAATAAATATAAATACAAATATAGATGATACAGTTCATATACTCTAAAATAAAATTGATCTTTATAAATAAATATATCAATATAATTCATATTAAATTATCCAGTTATTAATTCATCATTTTAAAGTGATTATGGTTTTTAATGTTGAGTAAGGTGATTATTTGAATCATAAGTTAATCTCTTAATTTGCATTGTTTGTTTAAGTGGTTTAATTCTAATTTGTAAGTACCAATTTTTTGTATCAATATACAATTTTACTTATTACCACCGTTTCGAAGTTGTACTTATCATACAGCTAGAGTTAATCAAAGAAATAGAACAAAACATTATGTGACATTTATTAAAATGATGAATTAATAAGCGGATAATTTAATATGAATTATACTGTTATATTTATTTATAAAGATAACTTTTATTTTAGAGTAAGAGTATATGAACTATATCATCTATATTGTATTTATATTTATTTTTAAATTAAATTAATCTGTTAATAGTATATTATAATGTGACATTTATTTATAAAGATAATATTTTGTTTAAATAGTCGTAAAATAACCTGTTTTGCAAACTTTATCACCTCTATTTATAAAGATTATTGGATAAATCAAAAGGAAAGAAAGAAGAAAGAGGAAGTAATTCCTTATTAAGATTATCATCAACCATGATGTATACAATCGAAATAGACGCGAGACTTCCAAGTCAATTGAAGAAACATGAAAGACGAAGAAAAAGAAGGACACACAAACAATTTCCAATGAATTTCATTATAAAAATGCTTAAATAAAATATTAGTTATTTGAAATAATTTTCTCGTTAAGGTTATCACTAACCATGATGCATGTAATTGAAGCGAAGGAGAGACTCCCAGTGCAATTGAAGAAACATGGAAGACGAAGAAAAAGAAGGACACATCAACAATTTCCAATAAATTTTTTTATTAAAATGCTTAAATAAAA